TCACATAGACAAACACTCAACCCAACTCCAGCAACCCCCTTCCTTTCTACTCCGCCACCTCTGCCGCAATCTTCAAAATCTCCTCAACACTCTTCCTTGCATTCTTCGGATCCTTCGCAACACTCTGCCAAATCTCGCCATGTCTTGGTTCCGCCAATGCTGCTTTGGCAAGCGTATCCTGCAACTTCTCCTCGGTACCGTGCTGGAGCAAAAACTTGTAATACCACACCCACGCGTCTCCGAAATCACTGTCATGCGTGACTGCTTTGACAAACCAGGTCGCTGCCTTATCGAGGCGGCGCTCGGCCCAGAAGATGCGGCCGACGACGCAGAAGAGGAGGGCGTCTTTTTCGACTTTCTTGATGGCTTCGAGGGCGCGGGGTTTGCGTTGGGTACGGGATTCGAGATGCATGATCTTTTCTGCCCAGAGGAGCCCTGATTTGGGGCATTGTTGGAGGGCGCTGGCCATGAGTTGCTGGGCGGCGCTGGTGTTGTTTTGGCGGCGCTCGAGGCGCACTTGTTCGAGGAGGATTTGCTCGGATTTGGGGTTTTGCTGGCGGCCGCGGTCAAGGGTTGAGCGGGCTTTGACGATGGCGCCTTGCTTGACTTGGAGGCGGGAGAGGAGGATGAAGAGGACGGGGGCTTTGGGGGCTGCTCGGGTGCCAATGTTGAAGGCTTCATGAGCCTCGGGGAGTTTGGAGAGCTGCTCGTAGACTTGACCCTTGATTGCGTGGAGCTTCCAGCTGCCTGGCCAATTTTGCAATCCCTGGTTGCAAATATCGATGGCCATCTCGAAGTTTCCGAGCTGCCGTTCAAGCACCGCAGACTTCATGTAAATGCGGTCTGTAGCTGCAGACTCGCGCGCCACTTGCAGGAAGCTACGCGCCTGTTCATAGTTGCCGGCATCCACCTCAAAGTCGACCGCACGAGTGTAGAGCATCTCATTACCAGGGAGTGCCTCGAAACTTCGGCCCAGGACCTTTCGAGCTCCTTCAGGGTCACCTGATTGCCACATCTCTCGAGCATAAAGCAGCCAAAGCGATTCTGATGTCGGGCAGGCATTGACTGCCCGTTCGAGTACACTAAGCAGTGTGTCCATGGTGCCATGGTGCTTCTCGAGGTCTGCAAATGCATGCCAAATGGTCGTGCTGTACGGGAACACGGCAACAGCAAATCCCAGAATAGCCCTGGCTGTCTCTGGCTTGTTCCGGTTTAAGACGCTTCTTGCATCCTCCAGCCAGATATCTCGGCGTTCGTCGTCTTCGTCAAGGCCCCATCCAACAGTTGCCTTAATAATGGCAGTTGCCGTTCCCTTGTCGCCCTGCTCTTCACAGATTTCCGCCTGCGTAATCCACTCCTCTCGCTTAATCATGGCATTTTCCTTGATGAGTGACTTCACAGCTCGAGTCATGATCGTGTCCAGCATTTCCACCTTTCCTAGCTCTTCCTGAAGTCGGCAGGCGTGTATCCAAATGGCCCAACTGGTGGGAATGGCTTTGCGGGCTTTGTTGAGAATCTGTTGTGCGGCCTCTGGTTCTGATACACGCGCATACGAGATCCACAGCTCTTCAGATAGTGGGACAGTCTCAGTTGCTTTGGCGAATAAAAGTCGTACAGCATCAAGCTCCTCCGTATCATTGATCAGCGTTTTCCACAGTTCTACACTCTGAGGGTTGTGGTCCAAAGCCTGTCGAGTAACCTTCTTTCGCGCCGCAGGTGTCTGCTCTAGGTCAATCGCTGCTTGCCACAGCTTAACGGCCTTTGTGTTTTGCTTGATACCATTTGCTGCAATGACCTTAGCGTTGTGTAGGTTGTCACGGTTCAACCGGATCGCTTCCTCCCAGACTACGACAGATCGAGGGCAAAGCTCACAACCTCGCGCAATAACCTTCTTTGCAGTGTGAATCTTTCCCGCCACCTCTTCCAATCTTGCTAGCGCAACATACCCAGGTCCATTGTGTATGTTGGTCTTGACAGCAGACTCTAAAAGCACACGAGCCCGGTTGATGTCTTCTACCGGTACCTCTTCACCCATGGCCTCCTTCTTGCTTAGGGCAGTCATGTATCCCTTGGGGTCTACCGATGTTGCCGTACCAGAAGTTGTCGAGGTCTGAGCACCGGGTGTACTAGCTGCTGAATCGAGTCGTACTGTTAGGGCGGAAAGCTGGGCTGCACCAATACTGGCAAGATTTGTCGTCATGCCATCGGCGTCTCCTGTGGATATCGATGTATCGAGTTCGCCACTCTTGGATGCGGCAGCCAGTACGCTGTCGGGGACTGCGTAGGATCTGGCATTGGCCATGCGGGCTTCGCGCGCACGCTTGGCTTTACCCGTCATATCTCCGACCTCGGGCAAGGCTGCCCATTCTTCTTCGGAAACGCCACCAAGGGCACGTTTTAGATCGGCGAATTGGAGTTGGATCTTGGGGTTGTTTCGTTCGTATTCTTCGCGTTCTTTCTGTTCTCGGGCTTCCCTACGGCGGACACAATCGGTATCTGTTCGTGGAAAAAAACACGATGAATACTTCGACAATAAAGATAGAGGGGAGGGGCAGTGAAGAAGAAACGGGATGTACCAACCTTCTGGCTCTGCGACGTTTGTCCATTTTCTCATCAACTTCCTGGTAAATGCGATCTGCCTCGTCATCCTCCTTGTCGTAGTTCATACCACTCGAGAAGAGGCCGACTTCGTTATCAGGGTCCTGGAACCGGTCTTCATCTTCGTCCCTCTCTTCCTCCTTCTTTTCGGTAACACCATACGCAGATGGGGCGGCTTGGCCTAGCGATGCGGCGCGCTTTGCTAACATCTCCTTCATCTGCTCCTCGGATGGACCCTCACGAGCTGGACCGAGATCGCTTCGGGTTGTGAAACCCGTAGCTCCTCTACCCAATCCAGCCACATAATTCTCGGGCGCCGGCATCGACAAGAAGTCGCGTCGACTCATGTTGGCGGTATTTGTGCGGTTCTCCGATAGAAACGGTTCTTGGGTCCTGGGCTAGATAGATGCGCAGGATGCGCCAAAGACAATAGCTATCTGACGGTGGAACACCTGGAAGACGTGGAGAATTGATCGCCGAGATTACCGGTGCCAGTCCTACTGTCTTAAGACAGAGTTGTGTGTGATTGCCAAGTTTGGTGTTGGAAGCGGCGTTGAGCCGACGCGACGTCGATAATAATTTGAGACTAGGTTGACGCGCATCACGTGCACCCACCACAGCTCCAGCCACGCTAGCCCAAAAGGTATGTTTGCGACGGGCTGTTTCTTCACATGCGATCAATGGAGAGTCGGAGGCACGATGGTTGTGTTGATACCACTGAGGTCAGCAACGAAGATGTATAACAATATCTGGCTTCCGAAGTGGGCCGTGTGGTTTAGAAGAGGGCATCTTGGATTCCAAAAGTAGTGCATGGTCGTAGTAGCGCACATGCTTCATACACCGAATTCCTTGACATGATTTCCACCACATGGTAACATGCATTCCCATGACGGCCCAACCAAACCTGCGCTCAGTAATACGTCATATACGTTCAAGTAGCGTGGTTTTCCTTTTCATGACCATGCTCGCTCAAGGCGCAGCGGTTTGAGGTTCCGGCGCTTTCGCGTTCGCAGCGGGGAGGGCATGGCGTGGAGAGATGGGTGGTAGTGGTGGAGCTGGCTCCTCAGCCGCAGCTACTGCATCGCCCCTCAAGGACCGCCCACTACGACGCATCAGTATGCAAGTAGATAGGAAGTGCGTGGATCTTGCCTTTTCGTTTTCCTCAGCTTTCCTCCGAACCACTTCTTCAAACTCCGACTTGTGGATGGTCGTTCGGGCTCTGGGGCAGGGGACGTGTCTGACTGCAAGACACTACTCGCCTGACTGTGCGGGCTGAGTATGCTGGCCTCTGGTGTTGCGTCATCATCCTCGAGCGGCGGAGCCCACCTTTCGACATCACCATTGACTACGACGAACCAGGCCAGCTTTTCTCCTGGCGCGACCTTGTCCCGCAGCTCAGTGATGGCAGCGCGTTGGCCGTCGGCTATTTCAGCACCCTGGACTTCTTCTATATCTACCCCAAGCTTAATTTCGTGCACAATGTCACAGACGTATGCGTGGGGCTGGTCTTTGACAGTAAAGTCGTCAGGATCGTATTGCTCAATGAATTGCAGGGTTGGCAGCTGGGCCATGGTCTCTGGCCATTGGTCCTTGAAGTTCTTGGTCATGCAAGCAACTGTCGCAGGGGCCATGAGCCACTCTGGGGCGGCATCGTCGAGGTTCTGGAGAATAATGTGTATGCGAATCTGTGCACGCGGCCAGCGGAACCCATGTACAAGCCAGGTGGGCATGACGGGACACTACACCGAGCCGAGTCGCAACTGGAAAGAAAAAAGCGCCGTGGACGGGAGAGAGTGGGTTGAAAAGTGGATTTGAAGGGAGCGGCAGATTTCGGAGAGCGGATGCAAGTAAGCAGCGACAGACAGACATGACAGACAAGGCGCTCAACAGACTCTGGCGAACAGGTCGTACATGCTTGTTTGCAAGGCAGGGTCAAGTTCCGAGACGAGGGTTTTGGCGTGGTCTAGGCAAAGCCTGCCGACCGTGGGCGACTTGACTGTAAGTACGGATACTTGCGCTAAGAAAGGAAAACAGCAGCGAATGCGAGACGAGACGAGACCGCACAGTGGGCTGGCAACAATCAAACCACAATAAGGGCAACGGGCCCCGATTGGGTTTACATAGTGTGCCGGTTTGTACATTCACGGTTGCTGTGCCGAGAGGGTTGCGGGGGGAAGTCGGGACTAGCACTGGGATCAGGAGAGCTTGCGACGATCCATTGCAAGCTACCGCTCAGCCCCGCCCACGCTAATGCAACGTCGCTCCCGATGCTAAGTATACAGACTGGGTGTGGATGATCATACTACAGCACTGTACATCAGTACATGCTCTGTGCATGGCGTCATGGAAACACCAGACTGAACCCTATTCATTCCACGCCATCCCAACGTGGCATCATCATCATGCCTCTGTACGTCCTCCCCCCTTGCGCCACACTCCGCCGGAGGTCCTAACCAGCAGATAGGCACCTACTCGGCAAGAAGGTATGCTATACAACTCTCAATTCGCAGCAAAATACCCCTGACACGTCTCTCAGTCATGGAACGTCTACAATGCCGACAATGTAGCACGCGTCAAGGCCGACGAGGCTGCCGCCGCCGCCCGCGAAGCTGCCCATGAGCAGCGCATGCAAGAGCTCGACGCCCAACGACGCGCTGCCATTCTACGCGGTCAAACGCCTCCACCGCTGCCCGAGGAAGCCTCGCCAAAGCACTCAGATGCGCGGGCTTCGAAGAACAGAGATGAGCGCGGATATGGCCCAAAGAGGAGGAAGCTTGCTGGAGAGGATGACACCGACATGGACATCCGCCTGGCCAAGTCCATGACAGCTCCGGATGAAGATGACAAGAACGATGCCAAAATCTTGAAACTACGAAGCACAGCCAGCGACGCTCCTCTGCACGACCATGCCGGCCATATCGACTTGTTTCCCGTCGACATTAAGGAGGCTTCGAAACGCGAGAAGAACGCCGAGGTCGAGAACGAGAAGCGCAAAAAGGAAAGGGCTTTGGAAGACCAATACACCATGCGCTTCTCGAACGCTGCTGGAAAAGGCGGAATAGAGCAGCCCTGGTACGCGACTCAGCAGAAACCGTCGCGGGATGATGGGAAGGACCCAGACAGCGCACGCGATCTAGCACCATACGAAGGCTTTGTGAATAAGGATGTCTGGGGCAACGAAGATCCACGACGCAAGGAGAGGGAGCAGGCGCGAATATCATCCAACGACCCATTTGCTTTCATGCAACAAGCCCAAGCCCAACTGAAGAAGGCCAAACGCGACAAGAAGCTATGGGCCGAGGAGCGTGACCGAGAGTTGCGAGAACTGCGAATGACACAAGAGCAGGAAGATAGTAGGAGCAGACATCATAAGCGGAAAAGAAAAGACGACCATGATGACAAGACTCGTGATCGCGACTCTGCTAACTCCTCACGACACAAGCATCGTCATAGAAGTCGGGGCCGTAGCCGGGACCGGCATCACCACAAATCTTCACATCGCAGTGAGAGGCGACGGAGTCGTAGCAGAAGTGCGGACTACGATCGCCATCGAGATCGGCATCGGCACAAACACCGGGATCGCTCTCGCGAAGGGCATGAAAAGTCAAGGGTGAAGTGATGTTAGAGTACTTGTGTAAAGACTATGAAGGGAGACTGAATCCCCAATCTATGAGTCCTTGGTTCAAATTAATAGAATAATGTCATCATCATCGTTTCATCCCCCATGTTTTAAGATTTACTCTAATTTTCATGTTATATCATTTTGTTTTTAACTATTGGAGATATGGAATTTGTAACAAACAAGAGGCGATAGAAGAAAATTGGAGACGGTGAGACCGGTACAACTATGGTTATTTCAATTCTGTTATTCTAATCGCATGCGAGGAGATGCCATATGTTATCTTTTTGATGAATGAATATACTTCGAATATAATTAGTTCAACGGGTCAGGTACACTATTTGCACTGCTTGGATTGAGAAACACTCAATTTCTAATGCGTCTTTTATTTCTTTTTTTTCGTTACTTATATATGCTTTTATGGTGTGTGAGTTAGATGAAATCCAGGTGTTGAGATAATTATAGCGAAAATTGGATATGAAAAATATAGCGGTGAAAAGATATTCTGCTTTCGTGAACAAAAGGTACGGATTTAATAGTGAATTTGAAGTCTTTTGAAAGATAGCTGGATTTTATTAGAATTTGATACAAGTCTGTCTTAATTTCGACCATTTCTAGCGGTACGCAGAAAAGCGAAGAAATTAATTTGATACCAAGTGAGGTGGCTACGGGAGACAAATTCATGAATCTTGGTGTGCGCTAGTTAAGCTTTTAGAAAAACCGATAGACAGAAATCAAAGAACTAATTTCAACTCGATTTCTTATGAAAAAGAGTATAAGTTGTGATCTTTGGTTTTCAAGACCAAAGGTAGGGAAATGTGTAATTTCTATGTACATGAGTCATAGTGGAATCGCGTGTGAATTGCACTTAGAAAAGCCGATCAAGAGAGTTAGTCCACCACTCCACTGAAATCCAGTTTGGAGATCAGTGATTTTCAAAGCCATGGCGAATTTTGTCGATACAAGAATGGGTATATTGCACATTAAAAACCTACCTACGAGTATCTGCGCCATAGAAGAGAAACTCCTTTTGTTCCACTGGTAGTATCAGCCAGTCCAATCAACCTCTCACCTACACTCATTACGCCAACCCGATCGTCAAATCTTATTATCCGTACCCTTCTCCCTAACCTCAGTATCCCCCGCGCCACCAACCCGCTCATCCGCAAGATCATTCGTAGAACTCTGCGCGTGCAAATCAAACAACGGCTCCATGGGCTCCACATTCCGCCTCAAGACATGCTTCTTCAGATACCATGGCAACTTCCTCCTATAATATGCAGAAAACTGTCGGTTGCCCACATCAAACACGGTATCGAGTTCCTCGAGCGTAAGGGCTTTGGTTTCGGGCAACAGGAAATAAGCGTAGAAGAAGCCGAAGAAGTTCCAGCCGGCGTACCAGCAAAAGGCGCCGGTGGGCGTGAAGGCGGCTTCGAGGGCGGGCCAGGTGAGGGAGAGGATGAAGTTGAAGCCCCAGCAGGTGGCCGTGGCAAAGGACATGCCGACGTCGCGGAGGTGCAGCGGGAAGGCTTCGGCCGAGTAGGTGAAGGGGACGGGACCTTCGCCGGGCGAGTAGACGGCCATGACTGAATTGGGATATTAGCAAAGTCTCTTTATGACTTTTTTTTTCGCTTCGCAAAACAGCGGAGTAGACGGCGGCGGGGGCTGGACTTACAGGTATAAATGGCAGCGGCGATGGATGCAAGACGGCCCTGTGTTGGTGTGCCGTCTGGGTTGTTAGGCAGGTAGAAAGACAGACCACACCAAAGCAGGCAGATTCCCATGAGTGGGAAAGTGGTTAGGAGGAGATTGCGGCGTCCAAACGTGTCGATGGTGTAAATGGCGGGGATGGCGAAGAGCCAGTTTGTTATACCCGTGCCCATAGAAGTCAGTAGCGCTTCCGAGTCACTGAAACCGGCGGATTTGAAGATAGATGTGCTGTAGTAAGCGATGACCTGATAGAAGAATATGTTAGAAAATGTTGTTTGGTGACAATTTGGAGAGGGGGGGGATGTGACATACATTTACTCCGCAGAATTGTTGCATGAACATGACGAAGAAAGCGCTCTGAGCAGCACGTCTGTTACGACGGACCAGGAAGAACTCTCGAACTGGGTTTCTGCCCTCACGTTGGGCATTTTCGATCTCGAGAAGCTTGTAAGCGTAGTACATGTCACGTGCTGCTTGTATTTTGTTCCAGCGGAGGCGACAGAGAGACTGGAAGGCTCGGTCGAAATTTCCTTTTTCCATATACCTTTATGTCATCAATACTTGTTGCATGTACTTTTTTCAGTAGATAATACGTACCAGCGTGGCGATTCTGGACAGAAATAGACTTGAAGACAGACAATCAATGGAGGTATGCTGGTGCTGGCCAACATCCATCTCCATGGCGAATTTGGTCCTCCGATGACAGTCACATTCTGGAATGCAACGGATACGATAAAACCGAGCATTATTCCAAAGGCAGTCCACATCTGCCACATCATCGTGAGGGCTCCACGGATAGTCTTTGGTGCAGACTCTGCGGCGTAGACGGGAGTAGTTGATGACTTTGCGCCGACAGCGAAGCCTAGCATGAATCGAGCGGCGAGAAGGTTTGGCCCTATTTACAAGGGTTAGTGCATGAAATGAGCACAGTTGTACATAGATGACTTACAGCTCTCACAAACCGCCATCCAGATACCGGTAATGAAAGATATGATACATGAGATGAAAATGGTACCACGACGACCAAAGAATTTGTTCAGTGGCGCATTGGACCAGCAGCCGATAGCCGCAGAGCAGAGGTAAGGAGCACCATTAAGCAGGCCGCGAAGCCACACTTGGTCTGCACCGATGTTGAATTCCCGGAAATAGAATTCCTGCAAACATGATTAGCCGGGGGAAAGGTGTCAAGAAAACAAAGTTGGTGAATTGACGGACCTGAGCGCCATTCACGGCTGTTTGATCCATTCCTTGAACGATAGCGGAACCAGCACAGAGAACGACCAGGAAATACAACGTGAATGGCTGAGACCATCGATGAGAAACCTCGCGTCTGAGTATGTCTTTTTCTTCCTCTGATAGGACATTCACGTATTCGAAGCCGTCCTCTCGCTGGCCCACTCGGGCGATCAGTGCGCCCTTGCGGAAGGAATCAAGGTCGTCTTGGAGCCCTTTCTCTGTGCACCAGGCTTCGACATCAGCCAGGACCTGTTCCTCACTGAGGCCCGCTAGAGGGTTACGAAGTTTGGCAGCGACAGATGCTTGTCGGTGTTGCGAGCCGGTATGTTCATTATGCTGTGCGGTGTTGAAGTCGGACTTGCTGCTACCCGAAGACGAGACGGTGGGCTCAGTAGCTTCGATATCAGGCTTACGGCGAGACATGGTGATGGCTAGATACGACGGTCGCGTCTAGGTGAATATTTCCCAGTTCAAGGGAAACCCGCCGATCACAAAGTGGATAAGACAAGAAGACACACAGCAGGCACGAGCGAACCGCGACCGCTCGAGTTATATAGTCATTCTGGGGGCCACAGAGGATTACCCGCTTTTCTCTCCATGAAAGAGCGGGTCACTGTCTGCCCCAGAGATTTGTCCCCATAGTCTCTCCACACCATCCAACATGTTGGCACATGTAACCATACATGGCAACCAGGCAACGGGGTAGCCGTACCAAGACGTGTAGTTGTGTTTTCATAGAGCAGCCGTTTCTGGGACTATGTCATAGTGGATACATCGTTCTTGGGAGCTTCTCGGCGGAAGCGAGTTCTGTACTTGGCAGCGGAGCGCACCACTCCTCCCAAGAAGGCACGTGAAGTCTGCCGGTAGGCTGGCCGATGGCTTTGGGTTGGTTCCAACCAATCAGAAATATAGCGGCAAGCGACTCGAGGAACACTGGTTGTGATAGCCGCTGACGACACAACGCGGTGTGTACTTGGCGTTAGGCGGGAGGCGTACAAAGCACTTGGCGAAGAGTATCATTACTAAAAAAGGCAATCCGCCTTATCCACTCGGCATCAAGATCCGCTCTCGAACTCAACGCACTTGAAGCTGCTGTAAGATTCAGTCCTGAGAAGCGTGGGTCCCGCGCGTAGTGAGCCCTGGATGTTGTCGGGAACTGTTAGAAGAATGTTAGTGAATCATCTGACCATCGCACAGACGTAGAAAAAGGAAATGCGCAATATCTTGGATGGTTTTGTCAGCTGCGTAGCGGGAAAGTTTGGTGTTAGATATCCATTCCATTGTTATAGCTGAGAAGCGATCAACGGCCAGCAAGCTTGGGAAACTTCTTGCCAGTCGTCTGTGCATGTAGGTGTATGTATTCACATCTGTTACTCCGGATTCTAGCCACAGAATAGTGGAGAGCATCGATCTGGCCATCAAAGGGTCCGAAAAGCCTAGAAATCTGTTGAGACCAAGAAAACACTTTTGCTGCTAGTGCGAGGCTTCAGTCCACTTGGGCATTTGCCCATGCGCCCCGCAGTAACAGATCCTCCAGCCCCTTCGCTACGGTCTCATTTGAGGTTTTCAGCTTCAGATAGTGCTGGTTGGTTATGCGTTCGTCTTCAACCCAGATGTTGGTTCCGTTAGGATATACATAGTTGTAGCCATTTGCGTTTGCATATTCGAACCAGTTGCCCAGACCACGACCAGCATATACCATTGCCAGATGATCCCAGGAATACTGTGAAACATTGGCGCCACCCCACCACTCAAAACTCGTTCTTACTGGGTCGCCAGAGGGGCCGCATGTAGTGAGTCGTGCCCCTGTCAAAACTTGCACACCGAGCTCGGCTCCGATAAAAGTCATGGGTACAAGGCTCGGCCATGTATTAACAACATGCGGTGCTTCTTGGATGGCAAAATTGTACTCTTGATCGAGGGACCCCTTTGCGAGGTATCCGCCACCCATCACCACCAACTCCTTTACCTTGGCCTTCACTAGGCCATATCCATCCAAGGGGGAATATTTGTCTGCCGTAGAGTTCAAGAGACCTGAGAGAGATCCCATAAATCCAAGTGAGATGATTGTTATGCTGCCATTCTTTGCCTCGCCAAGTGTTTTGCGATACAATTCCACAGGGTCCAATGTTTTGTTGACATCGAACCAGGGAACAGAGCCTCCAGACCATCTGGCAGCCACCCTGCTCGCATATTCTTTCCCAAAGGGTTCAGAAGAGGTCACATTGGTATAAGGCCTTCGTAGTCCAATGGGAAGGGATGAATACCCGTAGTAGTTGACAATTGCAGATGCAGCGAGCGCCGAGTATGTAGAGTTGACGTTGACATTTACAGCTAACAGTTTGGTGTTGGGTAGAGTGGAAGCGAGAAGGAGCGCTGCAGTGTCGCTAATGTAGTGTAAGTTGGAGTTTTAAGCGTAGTTGGCACGTAGTAACCGTACTCAATCGCGTCGAAGAGATCAGTATCCACAATAAATTCTTTTGTTTGCTGATTTGCTGAATCGACAAATGACAGTACCGATAAGATAGCCAGCGCATATCTCCATTTTGAAGCAGCGAGCATGGCGGCTAGAGATCGAATTTGGTAAGATTCCCAGCCCAGACCGAGGGTAGAGAGAGAGAGTGTGTGTGTGTGTGTTAGAATGTGCAATGATTCTCTTCGCAAAGACGGAATTTAAGCAAACAGCCTCTTTGAAGGCTACGATAAGACGTGTGTAACATCGAGCACTCGGTCCGTAACACAGCCCCACTATAAAAAGTCCACGGTATGTAACTTTCCACTGAAGCGACGATCCCGATGGCATCAACCGCCTCTGCAACGAGATATGGGCGATAAGGAAACATCGGAATTTATGCCAGATGCTCGCGAAACACACTCGGAAATAATGCAAACACGATGAAACTGTGTCTTTTGCTAATGTTCATACTTGCGCGAAGTTGAGGATTGATGCTGCTTTGAACGCAAAGATTGCAGTCGACAGTATGTGGGCAAATGACGTGATCGCTTTGGGCAAGTGCCGATTTCGAGGTGACATGGCGTGCTGCAGTCGACGTGTATCTCCGCACGCCGCTTCCGAACCCCACAATACAACAAAGACATAGTTCATGAGCATGAAGAAATCTCTCAGTATCTGGTTTGCGATATCGCTACTTGGAGTGCTTGCTTCGCACGGAGATGGCCCAAGCGCACAGGAGGTCATCGACAGGCTTCATCTCGAACCAAATCCAGAAAAAGGCTATTATCGACAAACATTCGAAGATGCCGCCAACCTCAACAATAGGTCCTACTCTACGGCTATTTATTACCTGTTGGAGGGTGACGTTGGTCCTTCATACTGGCATCGCATCGTGGACGCGGTCGAGATCTGGCATTATTACGCAGGCGCACCGTTGAAACTGGATCTGTCGTGGAATAATGGGACAGCGACTGAACATAAACTCCTAGGAAACGACATCTTCGAGAATCAGAGTCCACAAATCGTCATCGAGAAAGGGCGCTGGCAAAGAGCTACCAGTTTGGGCACTTGGACGCTTGTTGGGACAACCGTGGCCCCAGGATTCTCAGAGGACGGCTTTCAATTACCAGGACCAGAATTTGAACCGAAGAATAGCATATAGGGATGGGTAAAGCTGTTTTCCTTGTTCAACGATGAATTGGGTTTGCTCAAACTACACTCCACATCAACACTAAGGCAAGTTGCTTGTATCCAGACGCGGCACAGCGACGACGTTAGATGACAACTAGATCCAAGTGGGCAAATTATCAAGACAATGTCACTCATTTATCGCTTCACATTCGAAAAGACCAGTTGCATAGCTTCAGAGCATGCCATGAAATGGAGTGTAGACCTGTCAAGCCACTAAGCCTCTAACCCATCAGCGGTAGTGGCGCAGTAAGCCTGCTCACCCTACTCGTGTCGCTCTCATTTCCACATGTCCAATACCGATTGGTTTCTTCCAATCAGAATTGTGCGGCATGACATACTCGGTGTCGATTGTCCGTTCGCTTACTTACTTCTCGGACTTCGCTGGCTCGCTTAAGACACAGCTCTGCCGCCATGGCGCTACAGACCCCGATGCCAACACCGAGTTCATGGAGGTATGACCGAGTGCAGAAGAATAACGCATCTCATCGCATGATTTTTCTTTGGGAGACGATTACAAGGAGTACAAGTGGAGTTGGTGTATTGTTGAGATTGCCGAGACACACAATCCCGCATTCTAGTAGTATGTGATAGAAATCTATTTCCATATAACACTTGCCATTAACATAACAAATTTAACTCGAAGACAGCTTTGGTATCGGTGAACCTTCTAAAACTTGTCCGATGAAGCTTTCGGATAACGTACTAACAAAGAATGCATTCTAGAACTAGCGTCATGCACGTAACCGGGAGATCAGTAGGTAAGCACTAATTATACTTTCCAGTACTTACCTTTTCTAGCAACCTGGAAGTGCATGTGAAATTTGATCGAAGATAGCCCATACAGAACAGGAATGAAGCCTAGATCACATTAGACTTGGACGGCTAAGAAATACTGGACGAAAGCTTCTTGGAATGTGTTTTTGCAGAATATCCAGCCCGAACTGCTGCCCATTTTGACAGATGCATGTGAACTTACCTAAACTCGAGAATCAGACTAGTCAACGAAGCGTTGGGAAGTCGAATCGCTCAACCTCTAGACAAATGTTTTGTTTTTCAATAGGTTCAGTTCGTTTGACTTATCATTTGCACATGTTTTCTCCTGCATTTACGTGCATTTGCTAATAAGTCTAGTCTAAACGTCCGGCCTTCGGACTTCCTCTCGATGAAGCACAAATGACCTAAATACCTGGGTCCCATGATAATGAGTAATTGGTTGCAAATCAGCACATCACGAGAATAGGCACATGTTACAGCCATGGCCGACATCTCATCAGACATCTCGCTTCTATTAGCTATACTGGACAACCGCCTCAAACTATTCAAAAATACCGGATTCGGTCTGTCAGACTTGGACTGTCGGTTTCGGAATCCGTAAATCCTTCTGTGGCTTTGAATAGCCCGCCATTCCAACGCTAAACTTGACTTGAAGAGAAAACAACAATCAAAATTTCCGTGTAGATGTTGACTATCTTAGAGACGGAATAGGTAGCTATTTGCGGGCTGACTTTTCCACTAGTATGTGTTCTTGAAAAGGCCGCTCACTATTCGACGCCTTCAACCGTCATCACAACACCAAATTTCCGGCGACTGTGGATAGAGCTGAACATCCTCTCGTATTCACCTACTAACATGGAAACCGGGTGTGTATCTCCTGAGTCCGTGAATATTGAAGGCGTTTTATGAACAAGACTGGGCTTGTCTAGTCGTACGAGAAGGATAACTCGTGATGCAGAGGATGAAGAGTCCTAAACACCGTGAGCGAATATAAGAAGTCGGAAACACGCTGCTTCTGAACCTCAGAGCAGAATCTAAACTGCAAGAGATACATTGGAAAGCGTCCTTCTCTTCCTTCTTCCAGTCTTTACAGAAGAACACTCATTTCTTTTCGTTGTACGGAGGTACAATGAAGTCTATTCACTTCCTTGGGACTGTCCTGCTCGGGCTTTCCCATTCCCTTGCCAACGCAGCAGCTATCCCCAATGAGTTCCCTGCTTTCGCCCCTTTTACGCCCAAGCGGGGTGGTCTCGAAGAGCGCCAGTCACCAGCCTCCTGTATCAATGTTGGAAATACTCCAAACACGAGGCATTGTTGGGCTCCAGGCTTCACGTCGTCGACTGACATGTACACGTCCTGGCCCAATACTGGAGTGGTTCGCTCGTACAATTTGAGGGTTGAGAACACGACGTGCAACCCCGATGGTGCTGGATCGAGGGTTTGCATGCTTATCAACGGAAGATTCCCAGGACCAACAATTGTTGCGAATTGGGGAGACACGATCAGGGTCACCGTACGAAACCTTTTGCAATCCAACGGTACTTCCTTCCACTGGCACGGCTTCCGCATGCTTAACAAAAACATCCAAGACGGTGTAAATGGTATCACTGAGTGTGCTGTGGCCCCGGGTGACTTCAAGACCTACGAGTTCCAAGCCACCGAGTATGGAACGACTTGGTACCATTCGCATTTCTCGCACCAGTACGGAGATGGTGTCGTTGGCACTGTTATTGTAAATGGACCTGCAACAGCAAACTACGACGAAGATCTTGGTGTGATGCCGATCACTGATTGGTACTACAAGACGGCATACCAAGCTGCCTCCATCGCCTTCCAGAACGGACAAGCTGGACTGGGTCCGCCAGTCGGAGATAACATCTTGATCAACGGAACAGCTAAGAATGCCGCTGGAGGTGGCTCATGGAACAAGGTCACTATCCAAGCTGGAAAGCGCTATCGACTACGACTTGTCAACACGGCAGTGGACACGAACATGCTAGTCAATCTTGATGGTCATCCATTCCAAGTCATCGCAACGGATTTTGTGCCTGTCAACCCATACAACACCACTCATCTCCAGATCGGAATCGGTCAGCGCTACGACGTCGTCTTCACCGCAAACCAAACAGCAGGAAACTACTGGTTCCGTGCTGTCGCTAACGGACTCTGTCAATCACGCGCCGCTCGCGAAGGCCGTGCCATCTTTACGTACCAAGGACAAACTGTGGCTGACCCTACTTCCACAGCCCCTGCTTCCCCATTTACGGCGTGCGTCGACCCAATAACAAGCCCCAAGATTGCAAAGGATGTACCCAGTAGCACCTTCGCTGCCCAGTCCAAGACTCTACCCGTCGCTTTCGGCCCTGTCGCGGCGAACGGTAACACCGTCCTGTGGACTATCAACGGAACCTCGATGATCATCGACCCGGGAAAGCCCACCATCAAGTATGTTGCAGAGAACAACAACAGTTTCCCTCAGTCGTACAATGTTGTTCAAGTCCCGTCAACTTCTGCGTCTACATGGACCTACTGGGTGATTCAACAAGCAGTAGGCGCCCCGCCCATTGCTCACCCCATCCATCTCCACGGACACGATAGCTACGTCCTAGGCGCAGGCGATGGCCAATTCAGCTCCGCTACGCACTTTAGCCAGCTGCGCTTCACAAACCCACCTCGTCGGGACGTCGTCCAGCTCAGGGGTGGCGGCTGGCTGGTTCTCGCTTACCCTACGGACAACCCAGGAGCTTGGCTGATGCATTGCCACATTGTAAGTGGGATATACGAATCCTTTGATTATGAACTACCATGCTGATATTCTCCCATAGGCTTTCCACGTAGGCATGGGTCTCAGTGTTCAGTTTCTCGAACGTAAGCAGGAAATCAATCTCCCTGCCGCCGGTTCCGAGTGGAACAACAACTGCAACAACTGGGCTGCATACAAGGCCGGTACTACGGACGTCTGGCCTCAAGATGATTCTGGTCTTAAGAAGCGATGGCCGCCTCTTATTGAGGGCCGTTCGACTTTCCGGCTAGACTAGGCGTCCCATATGCGAACTTTGGCAGCTGTGGCGCGAGCGTGGAGGGTGGTGTCCTGAGGTGTGGCCTTGGGGTTCAGGTTTTCTTTTTTGCCTCTCTCTTACGCGTTCTTAGCTTCTTACACTCGCTTCCACTTCTTTTGCTTTCCATGCAACTTTATCTCCTCTCGTCAGATCTTTCTGTTTGAGTTCGCGCACCTTGTCGCGGCTCAAACCTTGTATATATCCGGAACAGTTACTTTGTTAGTGCCTGTCAGCGCACCCGTACACAAATCAAGCCTTTCCTTATCTCGAGACCCTGGTTTGTTTATGTGAACTTGGCTTGCGGGGTTAGATGTTGGTCGAGATCGTCGGGTACGGTGGAGCAGACTCCGCCAAGGTACATGGCGCACAGGCGACCAACCAAGATCTCTTTCGAGAAGGCGAGTGGTCAAGTACGGGACCCTGCCTTACACCATGTTTCTGGGTAAATTCTGACAGCTTTCAACGGTTGGGTCAGCATCTCTTAGTCCCGGCCACTTTGCGGACCCACTAAACCTTGTATCGATTGCATGTGCGGTACCGCTGAGGCTCAATGGTGACATTTGACGAATAGCAGATGACATTCGACGGGACGACGGGCTGAAACCTGCAGCCCCAGGTTCTGCACCGGGCCTACTGCAAATTGTATTCTAGTCTGTTGAATAAACGACCAAGTCCAGTATAATAACTGATCTACCCCGCAGTTCCATGTGCTGACGGAGAGTAACGCGATAGGGAAGACCCCAATATTTCGTCTTGTACTCATAAATGAACATTGCCTCCTTCGAGTTTCGGACGGTCTTCCTTTCTTTCAGTTTTCTTCAGCAAAAATGGCTACTGTAACTTCCCCAGCGCAGCCGACTCACTCGCACACCAGCGTCACTTCTGATCAAATCGACAAAGAACCTAGACTCACACATGCTCAAACCAATATCACCATTAGTCCGGAACTCTTCGAGAAGTTGTACTTGGCGCCCAAGGTACCGCATGCCAGTGAACGCGTTACTCAGTACGCAAATGCTGTTCCTCTCGGTTTCTTAGGGTACGACTTGACAATGCGCTCGCTTTGGTATCGGATATACTAAGCTTTACTTCTAGTTTCGTAATTTCAACCTTCTCATTCGCCATGGTTCTCATGGGCTGGGGCGGTGCAAGTGGTCTGCAGTCCATTGCGTAAGGAAATAGTCAGTTCCTACCCTGTAGTTGCATACTAACAGTTACCAGTGGCATCTTCTTTTTCACTGGCCCACTTCTTCTTACAATATCTACCATCTTTCTTTGGATCCAAGCACAATTCTTTCCAATGATGGTCACTGGATTGTTCTCAGTTTTCTGGCTATCATTTGGACTGCTGCAACTCCCTTCGGCTGGCATTGCTGCTTCTTACTCAGCTACCGGAAACGCAGCAGAGGGCGCAGCAAGCAAAGAGTTGAATGCTGGCCTTGCGCTGTTTTGTATCGTCTGGGGCTTTGCTATGGCCACTTTCTGCATCTTCACGATTAGGATGAATCTGGTCTTCGTAGGGATCTTTTCGTTGGCAGCGACAGCTACTTGGTTGCTCAGTGCAGCATACTGGGAGGTCAGCAAAGCAAACTTTGATAAAGCAATGAAGTTGCAGAAGGTGTGTTTGAATCTCTTTCGTTGGGTTTTGTGCATTTTTCTAATATTTTGCAGGCTGGTGGCGCCTTAGACTTCGTTGTGGCGATACTGGGGTGGTACATGCTCGTTGTGATCATGATGGCTGAAATGCGCTGGACCGTCAATCTGCCAGTAGGAGATCTCACCCATTACTGGCACAAGACCGATATCGAAATTGCCGCAATGGAAAATGAAAAGAAAGACTAGGTCCAAAGCCAAGTTGTTCGTAGCGGATAGGCCGGATAGGCTGGCGGGAGGGGTAGGCGGGGGTCCGGATATTTGCACGTGGTCGAAACGTGGGATAGTAAGGTCTGAGTCGATGAACCCTGCGTCAAAATTTCACTTGGAAAAAACAAAGAACATGGCAATCGCAAAATACCATGTATCAGTACCTGAATTCTACCCGAGTGGCCTAAACAGTCTCATCTTATTCAAGACTTGGCTGCGATGAATTCTTGCAATCCTCGTACTTTCACTATGATTCCATTGACACACCAACACAAACAACCATTAACTTTTGCGCTTGCGAAAGGACAACAATACCCATGGCAAATCTCCAAAAGTTTGGTCTACTTGGCTAACCTTTTCCGAATCCCTAGTCCGTGCACCAATTACAAGACGTGATCGACGCCACCACACCTGTCATAATTAGCTGAAATGGGCGGTAGCGGGGCCCATCAGCGGGTAGGTGGAGTATCCCCGGAAAGTTACCCAGCTTTTGAACAACTCGATGCAGTAGTGGCGTGTTTAGTGTAGGACAGAACTGATGAGCATTTCCTGGGGTCGCGACTAGTGTGGAGGATGTTGGAATGGGGTTCGGAGAGAAGATCATCTGAAGTCTAATGTTGATCCTCTACACTTGCAATTTTTCTGGTCCTTTAGCATTTGATTTCCTTCTTTTTTTCCAAATTCCCGTCGAACAAGATCTTCTATCGTTTCCTGGGGATTTTCCAATTCGATTTCACCATGGCTGGACAATTGAAACACGAGAAACCATCCTCGATACGAATTGAGAATGTAAACAACATCAGCAACGCGGATACCCCAGGTCGTAACTCGAGTTCTGAAGAGGAAGACGCAAACGAAGAAATCGTCCGGCATCTACAGACAACAGGAGAAGATGTAGGCTTCACATGTACGTATCCCCTCAACGACAAATTCACTTTCAATCACCAAAAGATTTACCAACCTTCAAACTCTAGTCAACACCCTCATGGCCGCCATATCAATGGCAATGTGCTACAACGCCTACCTCTTCACCCTCCTCATCCCTCCCGCCATTCTCACCTACATCAACACCGATCTAGGTCCCGACCCACGCTACACCTGGATAACAATATCCTGGAACCTCGGAGGCGCCATGTTCGTCACAGTCGGCGGCCGCCTCTCTGACATCTTCGGGCGCCGCTACTTCTTCATCGCCGGTGCCATCATCCTGATAATCGGCAGTATCGTGAGTGCAACGGGCCAGAGCATCAACCAGATGATTGCCGGGGGTGCGCTGTTCGGGTGCGGCTCTGGGTTCCTAGAGATGGCGTTTGGAGCGGTGCAAGAGATTGTGCCGAGTACGTATCGGCATGTTACGATTGGCTTGTTTGATGCTGCGTCGATTGTGGCGCAGGTTATGCCGTTGGTGAGTTGGGTTATCATTAAAGAAACGGGGAATTGGAGGATTTGCTATTATGTTATGATTGCTTTTCAAGTCGTCAATCTCGGTCTGTTGGTTTTGTTCTACAATCCGCCGTCTTGGGAGCAGAAGAGAAGCGAGCATGGTAAGTCGGCTGGGCAGCTTCTCAGGGAGTTTGACTGGCTGGGCTTATTTTTGTTCCTCGCTGGATGTACTTTGTTTATTGTTGGGGTGAGTTGGGGTGGTTCAATGGCGCCATGGGTGTCCGCAACTGTGCTCGCTCCTATCATCGTCGGCCTACTCACACTGATCGGACTGGGCTTCTACGAGGCCTACTATACCCTTTCTGCGCCTCTCTTCCCACCTCGTCTCTTTAGAGCTTTGAGACATTTCACGGTTCCCATGCTGGTCATGGCCATCGGTGGGATGCAGTACTATTCTAACGCAACACTATGGCCCCGTCTCTCACAACTCATTTACGCAACAGATGAGATCTCAAAGGGCTTATACGCCGAGGTACTCCCACTAGGTACTATTATTGGCGGTATCATCGTGGCCTTCAGCAAATACATTGGCCACCAACGTTGGGTCATTATGTTTGCTGTCGCTTTGCAAACCGCTTGCGTTGGCGCCATGTCAATCTCCACGATGGATAACCCCGCTAAGTCCATCGTTCTTACTGTCATCATCTCAACATGCACGTCGGTCAACTTGCTGAATGGCATGGTTTTGGTCGGATTTGGGATAGTTTATCAAGAAGACATAGGCACTGCAGCTGGTTTGGCGGGTACTTCGCGCCTCCTAGCTGGTGCAGTTGCGACCGCCATTTTTGGGAACGTTACCAACAACAAATATGGAAACATGTTACCTGAGCGTGTCAGATCTAACCTAGCTCCTTTTGGCCTCCCTCCTGCCATCGTTACTAGGCTCATCGCAGCCGCGAGAGCAAATAGTGCTGCTACATATGCGGCGATTCCAGGTATTACACCTGAAATTCAAGCTGCGGCTAGCCTGGGCAACAAGCAAGCCTACCTCGAGGGGGCACACCTTTCTTATCTAGTTGCCCTAGCTTTCGGACTATTGGGCGTTCTAGCAGCTTTCTTTATTCCGAGTGTGGATAGGAGAAAGTATACAAGCAAAACAGTCGCAGTTCAAAAATCGGATCGAAAAGCGTTGCAAGATAAGAAATCGATGGATGCTGTCGTATCTTAGATCTTTGGAAATTTCAATTCGCTCATGCGCTATTAAAGTTGTACACATATGTCTTCTTTCCGTAGAGGACTAACTAAGAATCTTAGATGTAGGCCACAAATGCAATTTCGATCTATCACTATTGGCTGCGTTTTGGTTTAGATACGAGAAGCTCTTTCAAAACTTCTACGATCGTGCTCTTACTTTCTGTCAAGGGCGTGACACGTTAAGCTCTACTAACATAGAACAAATTCTCGCTGGGCAACGTTTCCATCAGACAGATGACTCAGGATTTCCCCGTTCATGAGTCCATGGATATAACATTCTCCGACAACCTGAAAACGATAGTCGCCGACTGGTCTTAGAATCATGGGGCATTTCGACCCAAATAAAATAGCCACAACATCTCCTCTCCGAACAGCTATGGGAGCCAGGCCCAAGTATCCAGTTGATGTCGTGATTAGGGTTCTTTGCTCCAGAGAAATGGAAGCAAGAGACATGATTTTGGCGATTTTTGAAATGTAAGGCTTCCTATCGAGGTACTGTGGGAAGAAACTTTGGAGATCTTGGCCTCCAGCGTGGAAATGTTTATTACCCTCTCTGAACTTGTGAAACCGCTTATAGTTTCTTGACTGAAAGAGTTTGAGCTGCTCTTGGTCACCAAGGTGGTTGTCCGAATTTGAATATGTATCGGGTTCCTGAATCCATGGTATCCTGAAGAGTGGTTCTTTCCTCAGTCCAGGATAGCCCAAGAGTATGGTTTGATGAAGCGCTTGACGTGTGAGGTCACCATACCTATTTGGAGAGGTATTGTTACTCAATTGAGTAGAGTGCTGAATTTGGGAAGTCTCTGCCGCAACTTCATTCACAGTATCCACACAAAATCCACTGCAAATCAGGAGGCTCTCGTTCTCCTGCCCTTTCTCAAATCTTAACTCAGTTGGTAGGCCTCCGCTCGCTGCAAAACGTCGAAAGTAGTGAATATGGTAACGCAAAAACGGCTGTCTCCAATCAGGTACCCATGACGGCCACCCCTTGCTGGTAGGGATGCCTCCTACCATGATGTAACTTATATCACCTCGGTTTTTGACAACAGATGTTGTGAATTCTGTAAAAATTTGCTGCTCAGAAAGCGAGTAATCCGGGATGAGATCCGCAGAGATCATAGGATCCAGTAAGCCGAGTACACTATAGACTTTGTCTTTGTCACAGGAGGCTTTTGCCCAACGTATAAGACTCGACAAACGGTCCAAGCTTATTCCAAAATTTGGATTGAGGGCAAGACTTACTAGGCGATGCATTCGATTAACTAGAGACCATTCATCTTGCCCTAAGTCAGTATCGGAGCGACAATCCCACTCTTCTGTGTCTTTCAAAACTTCCTGGCAGTAGAGAGCTCCCAAGCGTATCATCCTTCTAGTGAGCTTGAATCTGCCACACAAGAAAGAAGTCGAATTATGATTCACGGCGAGCTCTTGGATGATCCAAGATCGAGTCCAATAAATCTTTTTTGTAAAGGCTAAGAGTGCAGGCCATGCTTTGAGCAGCAAATTCCCTGGAAGTTCCAGTATATTTTCGACAGAGGGATTGCGACAAAGGAAATGCATCGTCTTGACTGCATCGCTGTCTGTTTCTTCTTCTTGGCCTAGCCAGACAACCACAGCCCTAGCTCGGCCGTAGATGTCTTTCATGCGTTTGACCTGCTTGTTTCTCTCTTCCACATCTTGCTGATTGATACATAACCAATCCACCCAATAAGACATACCCAAACGTGTCTCTTTCAGATTACGCAAAGCTCTTAGTGCGTTTTCGAGATTGATCGGAATATCAATATCGGTTCCGTTTACGCAGATACATCGCGTATCGCCTCCATCACCCCACGTATAGGACAAAGCCTCGAAATCACCCCAGGCATAACGGAAGCCGCTATTATAACTGTGATTTTGGGCTATGCCAGTGTGTGTAGCCTTGTCAAGTCTTGTTTGCTCCAGCGTCGAATCTCGCAGATCCACGCACGTGGTAAAAACATCCCACGCTACTGGAAATGTTTTAACTTGCGGGTTCTCTTGGTGGGATTGAAATTGAGGAAAGAATTCCAGCGGAACGTGTTCAAGAGAGCAGTTGATAGCGTCCTCAGCCGAGATAGGGCTGGATACATCAAGGAACCTGAGGACTCGGATTTCGTTCTTCGTCTCGTCAAGAGGCCTGTACTGCATCTTGAATGAGGGAGGTTTAGCAAGAAAACTTTCATGAGAAATGGAATATCGCCAGATTTCTAGATTCGAACACGGGCTTCAGGAAGTTTTGGTCGCGAAGGATAGACGAGATACCTGTCGACATCCTGAGGGGTTAGAAACATATATTAGATTGTGTACATGTGATAACGCATCTGCTACTTGTGAGGCGCAGAACCTTGTGCTTCGCCACTTGGTTGACCGGTTTTTGGATAACATCGATAACTTGATAAGGCTGTTCTGAGTGCCTTGACACTGCCCCCGTACGTGGCAGGTGGGGATAACCATGAACCAATCACGGGTTGATACAGCAATCCTGGGAATCCTCCCCATCCTTCCCCTCACCAGCAGCCCATAACAATGAATGTTGGTGTCTGCCTTGTTGAGATGTCTTCTTCACAGCATGGGACAGGCGTCGTGATTCTGAGCAGGGAAAGTCATACATGATGCTGGGGCTTGAGTGGCGTATCGTAAACAATCGTTGCCAATTTCTTGGCATGCAAAAGGTAGCTAGTCGTACAGCGACAGCAATAGCATCTATGGTGATTAAAGGTGCTAGGGATTTTGGGTAAAGTTTTACTTGGCTTTTGATTTATGTCCGTTGATTGCTGGTACTAACACTGCTTTTACAGAGGATCAGTGGCAGATACGCTTCCATGTGATATTCATTGTCGGACCTTGAAACAGCATTCCAACTGATCTAGAGAACGCTTCGGCCGGTCTTCGGTAGCAGTATGTACACATGCTTGTGTAAGTAGTACGTATGCCCCGCGCGTTCATGAGTAGACCCACATCCCCACCTTCACGACAACGGGGTAAGCTCACCGTACCCACCACTACACATTGCGTCAGGATGTTGTGTGTTATACTTAACTTGATTTCACAAACTTTTTGAGCTGAAGTTTAAGTTGAACATATACGAGATCCTGGTGATAGGCTCCTGGATCAAACGTAAGTAATAGTGTAGCCCAGTAAGAGGGCTGAAGAAGCGAAGCTAGAGTATGCTAATGATGAAACTGAGAGAAGCGCCAAGGCAGATATACATGTTAGTATGATTGCGCTACATACAGTTTTTTTTGAACTACTTAGGACTCGAGCGCATGTGTTGGCAAGCTGGGGTAAGAGGCGCATTGACCTTTTGACTGCGTTGTGAAATGCAATTGCACTTAGGCAAATACTTATCAAGAGAAAGATATTCTCCTGACATCCCATCCTGCTATTTTCAGTGTCGCACGAGACCTTGCCAACGTATGCAGTTGAGACAAATCTGCCCAGGGACGCAACAAGAGATTCAGAACAACGTAAGAAAGTAGCCACTTTTAATTCCATGCTGTTACACCTTTAATCCCACTTTTCAGTTGATGTCCAGAGCATAGTTCGGAAATCTAGTAGAAGTGCTGGTATTTGAGCGTAATGTTGCCCAAGGTGGTGGGAAATCCATAAAGTAATTCATGCCGATAAATGTTTGCTTCCTTCCTTTTCATAGTCGGATATCGCCAATACAAAACGCCCTGAAATGCCGAAATGACCAAAACGCCGCCCATTGGAAATCCACTATGACGCTTACAAAGCCTCGAGCTCGAAGTCGTCCAGCTTGTCGCGATATTTCATAATGTTTCGCTTAATCTTGGAAGAGTCGACCCAGGTCACAAAGTCCTCCATATTTCTGGTGACGAGGTATGCGGGATCGGTGATGACATCTGTTCCCACACGGACATGACCTTGCTCAATGAGCGTGGTAGCGGCTTGGATGTGGTCAGCCATGCGCAGGCGTGTCATGACAACAGGCAGCCTTCTCCGTGCAAAAGCAGACACGGTGACTTTGTGCTCGATGTCGCTCAGTTTTCCTCTGCCTCCACCACCGGTACCAAGAATGCCCATGTCCCATAGCTTTTCTAACATGAGATCTTCGTGTTTTCGTCGGAAGGGATCCGAAGGGTCGAGGGCGGCAATCTTGTGGGCGAGCTGTCGCAATGAACCCGCGAGCTGGTTGTACTTTCGGTAGTCATCTCGGCCTTGGATGGCATAGCGTCGCATTACCGCTGCTTCTCGGTGACTGTTCTGAAATCAGTGTCGCTCAAAATTATGAATGGCGCATTGTACTTACTCATTGTCGCTCTTGTATGTGTTGAAGTCGACCTAGCAGCATAGAATTAGCATTTAAGGTGAACCGTCGCGTGGTGGAACACGGCCCAGCGAGCGCATACCTTCTTCAAGAGCTTCTGCTCATGATGCTTGAGCTTGCGCACCATTGTGACGACGGGCGACTGAGTGCGTGTGGGAGTTTACGGGTTGTGGATGTGAAGATGGCGTCTCTTGGAAAATGTTGCGCGGAGCACGGAGATCCAAAGATTTGTTTGGCAGGGATTCTGCGGGCACTAGTCGGTAGCGTGGCTGTAGCTGCCCCTCCCTCCAATTACGGCGGGGTGCATCCAAATTTCCTTCCACCGCGTCATTTAGAGTCAGACAGTTCCTTACTATCATTCAAAACATTGAAAACAAATATTTCGCCATGCCGACGGTTCACATGCTCGATTATGTTGCTGGCAACGTCCGCTCCCTCGTCAATGCCATTGAAAAAGTTGGCTACACGGTAGAATGGGTCAAGTCACCTGCTCAGGTTCCCGCGGCAGAGGTACTACTCCTCCATAACCAAAAGGTGTACACCAATTGACAAGTGCTGATACAGCATCGCCAATAGAAACTCATCATACCTGGTGTTGGACACTTTGGACACTGTCTCTCTCAGTTGGAAAAGGCTGGTTACAGTGAGCCGATCCGCGAACACATCAAGGCTGGAAAGCCCTTTATGGGAATATGCGTTGGCCTACAGGCGCTATTTGAAGGATCCGAAGAAGATGCAAAGGTCAAGGGATTGGGTGTGATACCAGCGCGCCTGCGTAGATTTCAAGACACAGACAAGAGTGTACCTCACATCGGATGGAACAGCGCAAACACATCACGGCCTGGCGAGGTGACAGATGAGTCATTATACGGGCTTCGACCGACATCCAAATACTACTATGTTCACTCCTACGCTGTGCCTTACGAGGAGGGTAAGTTGGAGAAGGAGGGATGGACAGTCGCAACCGCGCGGTACGGTGACGAGGAGTTTGTGGGCGCAGTGGCAAAGGACAATGTCTTCGTCACGCAGTTCCATCCCGAAAAGAGTGGTGCTGCAGGTCTTCGCGTCCTTAAGGCTTTCTTGGAAGGGAAGAAGACACAGAAGCTGCCCGAGAAGCCATCGTCAGTTGACACAAAGGAAGGTCTCACCAGGCGAGTCATTGCATGCCTCGACGTACGGACGAACGACCAGGGTGATCTCGTCGTTACAAAAGGCGATCAGTATGATGTCCGCGAAAAGTCGGGTGCTGGAAATGAAGTGCGAAACCTAGGCAAACCCGTCGAAATGGCCAAAAAGTACTACGAGCAAGGCGCTGACGAAGTTACCTTCCTCAACATCACTTCATTCCGCAACTGCCCTGTTGCCGATACACCAATGCTCGAGATTCTGCGTCGCACAAGCGAGACAGTCTTCGTCCCTCTCACAATAGGCGGAGGCATCCGCGACACTGTCGACACCGACGGCACTAAGATTTCTGCTCTGGACATTGCCACCATGTACTTCAAGTCTGGGGCGGACAAGGTAAGCATAGGCTCTGACGCCGTAACCGCAGCCGAGGAGTACTACGCGCGAGGCAGTAAACTCTCAGGCACTACCGCCATCGAAACCATTTCTTCAGCCTACGGCAACCAAGCTGTGGTCGTCAGCGTAGACCCTAAACGCATATACGTCTCTTCGCCCGACGCAACCCCCCACCACACCATCAAGACGGCTGTCCCCGGCCCCAACGGTGAGGAATACTGCTGGTACCAGTGCACTATCAAGGGCGGACGCGAAGGTAGGGACTTTGACGTCCGACAGCTCGTTCAGGCTGTCGAGGCTATGGGCGCAGGCGAGATTCTGCTCAACTGCATAGATAAAGATGGCAGCAACAGCGGGTTTGACACGGAACTCATCAATGATGTCAAGAGCGCTATCAAGATTCCTGTGATTGCGAGTAGTGGAGCGGGTAACCCGGGACATTTTGAAGAGGTATTTGCGAAGACGAGGACAGACGCTGCGTTGGGTGCTGGAATGGTAAGTCATTAGTAGCGAAATGTGGAAAGGATGCGTTTGCTAACTTTTACATGCAGTTCCACAGAGGCGAGTACACGGTTAAGCAGGTTAAGGATTACTTGCAGGAAAAGGGGCAAATTGTTCGGCCGTTTGAAGCGGATATATAGATGCGGGGTTTTTCTTTTGTAGGAGCTGAGTAGATATTTTGAATGATTATAGACTCTTGCATAAGTGCCGTATGCCTTGAACATTGCCATAGTTGGCAGAGCCGATTGCGTGATTCTTGATCAAATCTGCAAACATTTTTGTATCTTGTACACCACGTACTTGTACATGAAACTCTTCGCAGTCTTCTTCTTCTTCTCAACTTGTGTTCCCTGCTTCTTCTCTTTTTTCTTCCCATCAGCACCAACTCAATCAAAGTGGCCATATGTGTGTGTGTGTGTGTGTGTGTGTGTTTCGGAACAGCTAGCGGGAAAAACATTTTTTTTTAAAAAAAAAAATCAAGCAAGATGGGAGAGTTTTGGAAAGAAGATGAGCAAGGTGAAGAGAGATGGTAAGAATGGGGGGAGAAAATAATATGCAACATTCCCCATTTCCATTTTCCATTTTCCATTTCGACCAAGAACAAAAAAAAAGTATAGTGAATATGGCATAAATGCACACAACTATGCTTTCCAAGCCAAAAAGTCCAAAGAAGACGAAGGCAAAAGAAATGATCTACAAGCAACTGTTTTTGGAGGGGGGGTTGTAGCATTGAGCGACTCTTTTTTTTATTTCCTCTACTTCCTCCTCTTCATAACCTTTGTGCACATTTCCACGAGCCCCGTTTTCGCTTCCGAGTCCGGGAAGAAAGAAATAGCGTCAATGGCTTTATCAACGTATT